AAAAAAAGCAATTGCTTAATTGCAGGGGTATTCTCAGTAGTGGCTGTTTCAGAGCTGCTGCAGCAGGAATTTCTCCTGTATAGGGAAGAGGAAGGTTAGATCAAATGACCTCCAGAGGGCTTCTGTATGTGATCATCTAATTCAAGAAAAAGTGTTAGGGCTGATGCTGAATGAAAACTGGTTTAAGTGGATATGTTCAATCTTGCATGCCAGCCAGTGGACAAAGAGCAGTGTGTGAAATCAGTGATGTCAAAGTGAGGAAGGGGATGAACGGGATGGTAGGAAAGCTTTCTATTTTCCAATCCTGTGTGTCAAAACAGGGCGGACTGATCATGAAAAGTAAAGCCCTAAGAGAGATGGCTAAGGAGGCCGTTCTCCATGAAAAAGGTAGGTGTAGGAGGGTAAAGAAGCATGGCATATCCCACTGTGCCTGTTTCCACCAAGTATTAAGACAATCTTAGCTAGAACTTAAAAAATGAAATAAAGCCTGTATTATTTTAGGTTGATGGCATCTAGAAAATAATGACAAGTTTGGCTATCAGAGAACTACCATTACACTGTGCTTTTCCTGGGGGAAATCAAGATACCTATTCTATCGACTCTTTAAAGCTAGGTGAGTGAATTCTCAGGATTCCTGTTAATAATTCTTCTGTTAAGGAGAATCATGGAAATTTTATAGGTTTGCCTATCATGTTTCACATGAATCCAGTAGTACTTTTCAACCCCTCAATCTCACTGCGGTTCTGACCTTCATTACCTCACCCTGGACCTATAGCAACTACACCATTTGGATTCCACAGCATCATGAACATTTTCTGCCTACTAATCTCCCTGCATGTGGTCTCTCGCAGCAGACTACAGAAAAAGCTTTCAGGAATCTGCCACTGCCTACAGGCTGTAAGTCCAGACTTTGTGCCCTGATATTCAAGGCTTTCCTCAATGGGAACCCAGCCTGTCTTTCAAGCCCACGTTAAGATAAATGTTATTTAACCTGTTTGGCTTTTGGTGGATACTTACATGCTGAGTCCCATCCTGGGATATGAGTGTAACTTGTTGACTCAACCCAGACTGGGTTACTGTGGCTACTTGTGTAGACACAACATCGTCCCCTTCTACGCCTGTAACATACGTGATCTGGGACCCTTTAAGAACATCTTCACCTTGACCTGTTTAAAACAAATGAATCATTTATTGGACCAACAACCCCATCTGTTTAGAAAACAGGATATTTTAAGTATTAAAGAAAAAATTATATAAATTAAAATGTGTACATATTATATTCTAAATCATGGAAATGGCTTCCAGGACCTCCTTCTAATTCCTCCACCTCCACTTTTGCAAAGCCAAACCACATCAAAGCAGACCAAACCAAATCTTTCCACATCAAATTTACGTGTTCTAATTTTGCTGGCCCTCTTTTATTCTCTTGCTTGGAGTAATGACGTGATACTGTGCACGTGTGTTGGGGGCAGGGAGGAGAGAAACTGTACAGAAACACTGACTGCCAAGTAACCCTTCAAATATGGCAAGTATGCACTAAGTTCTTTCGTTCACTTAAGGAGCCGTTAAAAGTGATAAGACAATCTTCAAAAACATTAACCATAAAGCCAGAATGGTTTGTAAACACAACCTACTGATACTAACTTACTTAGCCTTTAACACAAGTGATTGATTACAAGTCATCAGCACACAATGACATCATTGTGTAAAGACACTGTAATGGCACATTATCTGAGGTAAGGTTAATCATTTAATAAGTGACAGAACAAGGAACCCCTATCCACGTCTTTATTTCATAAAGAACCAGCAAGTAAACAGCAATTTCAAGCACCCATCATTGCAATCCTTGGCAACCAGGAAGATCCCTGATCCCTTTCTTTTTCCATCACTTTCCACCTCTCATGAAGCCAGAAAGAGAGCAAAAAAAATTTTCCCCTTCAAAGAAGGACTTAATATGCTAACCTAAGAATACTTCTCACAGTCAGTGGTTGGTGCCTGCACTCATATGGCTATAGTCATCACGGTGTAATTTCCATGACAGTCATTACTTCATTTCCTTTTTTGCTGTTCCACAGTGATTTATACACCATTATTCCAATGGGTTACAAAACCCAGAGGATCATGTGAGAGAAAAGGAACACAAATCCATCTCCACTGTTGGAAAAGCAATCTTAGTTTCGGATTTTTTTGTAAACAAAATGTACAGTATCATATTATAGAGTATTTTCTAAAATATAAGAACTTCTGATAATCTGATAATATCAACATTCAAGGAAAAGACTGAGGAAGCTTGAAAAAGGTAGAGTCTTACAAACTAAGTTTGCTTTCTAACTGAAAGAATTCAGCAGTTACTGCAGTATCTTTTTATTTACCTCCTTTCTCTTCGCAATTTTCAAGTATGCAGTGTATTTTTATTAAGTACAGTCAAGTGCTATACAGTAGTTCTCCAGAACTTATTCCTCCTAACTGAAACTTTGTACTCTTTGACCAATATCTCCACAGTTGATTTAATATCTAACCATGCACAGTCAACAATGTTTTGGCTAGAAAATAAAATAGCTCAGGAATGATGGAATTGTTATTTTCATACATCACCTGACAAATACCTGAAAAGACAAATGAAGACTACGAGGGATCATTTGAGCAGATGATCTGTTCTTTCCCTGATTCTCCAACCAACTTTCCCACCTAAATGTTTTTCAGTACTTTAATATCAGTTATTAAAAATGAGAAAAGATGTCTTCTTTTAATTTTCAAATTTACTTCATTTAGGAGGTACTCCATGTAACAAATGGTAAGACAACCTATGCTTGGCTTTGTGTTT